AATGACTCCGCAACAATTCAAATATGAAATCTTACCTAAATTATTTTCTCCTAAAAATGAAGTCTCTAATGGATTGCCATAAGCTCGCTAGATAGGTTATACGCCGTTTCTTCTGTCCCTCTTGCCTTCAATGTGTCCAATAATTCATCACCCACAAGAATGCGGAGTCGGCCTGTATTGGGTGCGCCATATTTATAGTTTAGTTTGACAGGTCCTTAACTGTAATAAAGGCTTGTAAATTCATGTAAATATGCGTGTAATTTTTCTTGCTACTTGCTCGTAAATGACGATTTATTCGGATATGTCAAATTATATTGACTTATTGACAGCTTTACTTTGTTTGATGGTCTTACATGTTATCAGAAACACGTTTCGGTCAATACCCTCCGGTTATCTTCAGTTATGCATTGTTAACATTGATATATGTACGGAATTCCGACTATTTGTTAAATTTAATTTTTGATATTTCTTGTTCGTTCTTCTAAAAATTAGAAATCCATATATTAAAAATTCAACTTTCGAACAAAAAACGGCATCACAGGATAAAAATAACGCAACAATCAACTAATACACGATATCCTATATCAACGACAAATAATGGGCACCTGAACATGGTCAGAGACTATTTGGCTGAAACATTGTTTCTATAATAAATAGCTTTAACAAAATTCGTATAAATCAAAAAGTTGAATGTCGTCTGGATCTAACTCCATTTGATAAAATCGTCATGTGTGTTATTTGTGTTTCTGTATCAAATGTAAGAAAGACAGAAGGTATGGTCGTCAGCAAAAGGGGCAGGCCACGATGCAAGTTACAAATGGGAACGTCAAAATTAAATAAATAGAGAAAATTAAACTATCTGCGAAATGTTATAACATACGACAGCAGATGTGACACAAAAATCCAAAGTCGTATTGGAAAATAGAGGAAGATGTTTTTCAAAAGCTAAACACTGTATTAAAAAACGGGAAAATGTTCTTAGAAGCAAAGAAAATATACCGAACTACTATACAATATCAATTATCCTATATGCCAATGACAAGTTGGGCAATTTCTTCACGGATGAAGATCAGACTTCAGGTAACAGAGCTGTGATTCTACAGGATGATGAGAATAATCATGTGAATATGTTTTTAAAAGAAATTTTTTTTAAGGAAAAATCGAAAAAAAAAAGGATATTTTGTTTTATAAAAATAAAAAAAAATAATAAATTTCTGGAACACATAATAAGGATAGAGGTCTTGGAGAATTTGACAGCTATAGAGAAACGGCAAGTAACATACCTAATAAGTTCGTGTAAATGTGTAACAGAATATTGACTGGGAGGGATATTTAGGAGACAAACACAAAAAATACAACCTTGTTTAGAGTCCCGATAGACTATTTCCTGAAGGTATAATGTACATAAACGAAAAAAATGGATGATAAGGATACCAATCCTGTAAGCCAACCTCAAGTAAGTTTGAGGCAAAACGCTTTTTTCACATTTTCTTTTGTTTGTTTCAATGTTTTATACTTACAAGGTACGATAAGAATATAATACGTGAGTTAGATATATTACTGAATATAGCTTACAAGGCTTATAACATCTAAAATCTATTCAAATCCCATATCTAGTTAGATTCTGCTGTCACACGGGTGGAACGATGACACTTGCATATGTAGTCATATATTGCTCATTTACAAATTTTACCATTCGTCCGACTTAAAAACTAAATTAATATACCTGGTCTGAGACTCCTACTATATAAATCAAATTTTTAATAAAAAAATTCAAAGAAGGGTCTGTAATGTAATGGATCTAGGATCGAGCCATTACAAACTTGGGAATTTTTTTTCCTCACCGACAAAAATAATTCAATCTGTCTTTTTTATAAAATATTTTCATGGCAACTGTTCTGATGATTTTTATTTAAATACTGGAATAAAAAATGAAAAAAATTTTTTCTATAGATTGACAACTTTTCTCAGAACTTTACTGTTGAAATATAAGACATTTCATTTTTAGTATTCGCGACATGTTTAAATGATTATATGGAGAAAAATTAACTAGAACATTTTTATTTTATATATATATATATATATATATATATATATATATATATATATATATGGATTATTTAAAACCAACAAAAAATTTTTCATTAAACTTTTTGTATCTCCATAAATTAAATAATATTTATGTTGGTCACACCACAAACTCACTTTCACGACGCTTGACTCTACATTTGAGTGATAACTCTAACATTGTTAGGCATTTAAAACAACATGCCTGGTTGTGTACACAATTCCGGAAAATCCTTGTCGAAAACACAACTATACTTAAACATGAAAACAATAAACAAAAACTAAAAATTCTTGAAGCTATATGCATAAAACAGTTGAAACCTAACCTGAACAAAATAAACTATGAAATCTCCACAAATATTCTTAAATGCCTATAATTGATAACAGAAGCCATTGGTTTATACCAACGGCTTCCCATACTTAATACTTCTCGTTTTCACTCTCGCGTGGTCATGTGTGACGTCACGAGCTGCGACGCGATTTTCGCTTCCGCGTCTCGTATACACGAGTTTTTCGTTGCTTTGAAATTTTCATGCAACAAAAACAGACTATCATTATTGTTTTGTCCGTGTATTGCTTGATATATTGAAAAGTAATTGTCATCTTTGATAATGGCTTATGTAAGCCGAAAGCTTAGATTGGATTTAAACATGTATCAATATGGTGATTTCCTTTCCTCTTTCAATGATAATATTATTAAGTTTATCAGACAATATGAAAGGAACTTACTTAAAATAAATAGACAAAACTTGTCTATATTATTTAATGAAACATGCATAATGAATAAATATATATATATATATATATATATATATATATATGGGATATATATGTTATATATATATATATTAAGTATATAAATATAAATATGTGTGAACATTGATATAAACATTTAGAAATACAGGCTGTTTTGATGCGAAAATATACGATTAACATCTAAATTAAAAACATATGTCATTTATTTTATTAATGATAATGCAATTATTTTATATATATATATATATATATATGATTTGATACACGTTTTAATGATGATACATGTCAAGTTCATTGTTAATGCATTTATTTCATAAAAAATGCATAGACAAACCAATTATTCATTATGGACCCCATTTCAAATTTTTCGGATTTAAAAACAAAATCTAATAAATAAAAAATTAAAAAAACTACAGGAAAGAAAAAATTTTAAAAATATTCAGCGATGTATTTCAAAATACGAAATTGATTTAGCAAATGAGTTGCATTAACTTTTCAAAGATGAATGCTTGGAATATTTGGAAGGCCTATATATATAAATGGCATATACATGTTTATAGTATTTACATTATGATCATACTACTGGTAGTTACTAATGTGTTTTTACAACTAAAAATTAATCCTTTCTTCAGACAATCGGCTTTAACGGAGTATACCTCCCAACTATTAGTCCGTAAATGAGGGGTTTGTCTGTAATGGCATATCTTGAGATTTGACTATATAAATATAAAAATTTTTTGAAATGACAAATAAAAAAAAAATTGAAAAATAACAAAAGCTAATGATTGGTTTGATTTGTTTATTTTACGGCATATCAACCTCAGTGGTTTATTTAATGAAAATAATTTTTTGATATTGTTGGTAATATTTTTTAAAAAAAAAAACTTTTGGTAATATTTTTTTCAAAAAAAAAATATTTCTGTTAAAATTTTTTTTTGTAATTTTTTTTATAATTTTTTTTTAAAAATCTATTGCTGGTAAAATTTTTTTTTTCAAAATTGTATAGATGGTAGAATTCTTTTCAAAAATGTTATAAAATTTTTAAATTTTTCTTCAAAAATTCATTGCTGATAATAATTTGAAATAAAAAAAGAATATTTTCTTTTTTTTTTTTTTCAAAAATTTAATTTGTAAAAATTTTTTTTTTTTTTTTTTTTTTCAATTTATTTCTGGTATTAAAACCTATTTTACACTTTCATAGTGTTTTGATACCAGTTTGGGGGTTAACTATTTAGCGTTAATTGATAACAAATTTTAATTGGGTTATAGATATAAACACCAGATTTGAAAGAATTTGAAAAAATCGCTAATCAAAACCTCCTGATCAGAGGCCTTGCTTCCGGACGTAGTTTATCGTCTTACCCAGGACGCGGACGTAGTTTATCGTCATACCCAGGACGAAAAAAGTAATGAATATATAAAATAAATACTCAGGAAGGTGCTGTGTAGAGAAATGCACGTACAAGTATTGTGAAAGAAACCAGTATTTGCTTGTCTGTCTATGAAGGGTTCGTTGTTATATGGGTCCGTGACTCAAAAATATTGAGATAGTTCTCAACATTTTTGAGTCACAGACCCCTATAACAATTGGGCTATATGTTTTCATGTATTCTATAATATATCAATCATCATGTGACAGATTTTATATTTTACTTACGTCTCCTTAATACCTGAGACAAACTTCAAGATGGTCATATGTCTTACTAGAATAAAAACTCATGTTGAAGGCAGTTTGAACAGCAATGTATCCACGCAGTACAATATATAAGCTTTCTGTTTTGTACTAATTTCAAAAGATTTTTTTTACATTGCCTCGAGAATGGAAATTTATTGTTTATATGATTGCGTGCTTACAAAGAAAAGATGTGCATATTCAGTGAAAATAGGACACCCACGACGCACCGGAAACAGACAGCATAACACCGGAAGCTTCCGCAACGGTGACGTTAAGCGCGAAACCAAATACACAGTGCAGGATCTTGATAATCCTCTTTCTACGATGATAACAATGTAAAAGATACCATTGGGATGGTTAGGGTTGTAAGGCATGAGATGGGGGAAAAAAAAAACAAATATTGTTGGCTGGGGTTAATTGGCTAGCGGCCGTAATCATGGACGCCGTGTGTATATGATGCAAAACAGAACACCGGAAACTAATGAAGGATAACTAAACTTACGGAAATGAGGAGAGAGTTGAGAAGGAAGGAAAAACCGGAAGTGGAGGTTGCTAACGGGGCAACTTTTTTTTTTTTGTTGTTTAGTCATGTCTTATAGCATTTTTTGTTCTTGTTTTTATAATTCAATTATCATTTTTTTTTTATAAAAATCCTGCATTAATTCATCTCTTTAATGTTTAGAATCAAATTCCAGTATTTCCATCAAACGTTTTTTTTTTTTTTTTTTCATTCATATTTTCTCTTTCTGTATTCTATTATTTATTAAACTGTTCCTGTAGAACGACACAATCCCAAATTCAAAGAAATGGCGCTGAGGAAGATTGTATTGCGCCGATCATTCAGATGATGTTGGCCTGCATGCTTGCCTGCATTTCTAGAACATTACCAGTTAAAAATGAGACCTCTTGTAAATATCAGGTTTTGTAAGCTTGGATGTTCGGATAAGTGTAATGGAAAACGGCTCGAAATTGGAAGTCGAAGAACCGGGTTCCATTCCAGTCGCGTTCATTATATTTACTTACACTCAAATACCCATGGGAAAGATATGTATATATCTCGTCTTCCTCCCATCTATGGGTTAATTAGTAGCACTTGTCTTACATAATAGTTCAGTACATAACAACTCAGTGCTCTTTTCTTTATTTCTAAGGATTTTTTTGTATTTCTTGATACCTTGCTTAGCTTTTGGAAGGTATCTTTCGCTATCCCAACGCGCCTTCGGATTTCAGTTTCTGAAATTTTCGTTTTCTGTTGAAAACACTTCCCAGACATTTAAATTGTGGTACTTATTTGATTTTGGTATCTCCGATTAGTAATTTGCATGTCGAGCTGTTCCCTTTGTTAACAACCATGGATTCTGTCTTCTCGCAATTGATGTTTAGTCCTTTCTTGTTGCTTTCTTTCACCACATTCTGTAGGAGCTCTTGTACACTGTGTCATCTGAATATTTTATGTTGTTAAGATTATATTTAAAATAATTAATTCTGGTTCTGCCATACGCTACCTTTACAAGAGCCAGATTAGGCCGAAAACAGAGTACTAGTGTCATATTTGGGCTGGAGTTTTCAAGACGTCACTCTCCAGCCTTGATAGAATCGAAAAGAGTCTCCGAGCCCCCGTGAGTGATGAAGTATTCTCCACCCTCCAACCTCTCTCCTACAAGTAGCATTTGCCAAGCCTCTCGCTGGTCTATCGCTACTTCCACGGTAAGTTCTCGGACGGCAAGGAGTCGATATGCCACTTAGATAGTAGCAAACCACACGTATTCCCTCCGTATTCCACCGCTGAGAAATAAGTTCCACACAAACAGCTTCTTCCTGTGAACAGACTCCCAAGAGAATGTTTCCCCGACCACTACAATTTTAACCTGTTCAAGTCTAAATATAACCATTATCTTCCCTTCCTATTCATATAAACTACCCCTTAATAAAACCTTCTACCTTGAGTGGCCCCCGAGCCTTGTACAAAGTGAACCTTACTGTAAAAATATAATTAAATGAAAATAATATATATATTATATTATATTATATTTCTCGAACGAAATACACACTCTGGTCCTGCCAATTCAAACCTTTACGGCAAGGACTCGATATGCCACATATAGTAGCAAACCATCTGTATTCCCTCTGTATTCAACCGTTGAGAAATAACTTCCACACAAACAGCTTCTTCCTGAAATGGTTTTAATTTGTGAAACCAACTCTTTGCAAAGAAGTTTTTCTGATCACGAAAAATCTTAACCTGTTCAAGGCTTGGGTTAACCGTTATCTTCGACTCCTATTCGCATAAATTGCCTCCTAATGTATACCTCCAACTCGAGTGGCCCCGGGCCTTGTAAAGGATGAACCTCACTGTACAAAAAAAAGAGAAAGAAAAAAAAAGAACATTTAACTCTCTCAGATTCGACTTCCTGTTTAATCTGAATAAGTGAGGTGACAAGATTCGCATGTTTCTAATTTTGTATATTTCCTGAATTCATTTTCTATCCATATGCAGTCGGTTTGCTGACAGTACAAGTTCTAGAATATTCTAATATCCTTCCAAAATGTCAAGGTTACCTAGCAGTTCAAACCGTTCGTTGGGATAATTAGAATTAGAAAAAGAAAGTTGAAACTTCTGAGATATAATATGGGCAAAGAAAATTTAAAAGAATTTAATACTCCCAGGACATAGTGAAGGCAGGAAAAACAGTGACAAGAAGCGTGTAAAATGGTGACAGCACAAGGACTAAAAAACAAAGAGTGGTGGAAAATGTGTAAGAGTTACTTCAAGTAAAAACAAAAAAAAGAAAATGCCAGGAAGTTGTGAAGAAATATGATAGCTCGCATCCTGAACGGACATGTCGCATAAAAAATAGAAACTTTTCTTCATGCTTCAAACGTTGGCTTGTATGATCAAACCCTAATTATACAATTTTTATCATTCTTTTGATAAAGAAACGGAAGGCTTATTCTACTGTACGTAATGCGCATGCGTTAACAGTCGCCACTAAAAAAAAAGAACAAAAAAAACAGTGCAATATTCCAAGAATAATCGCTTTTATCTTGTTTGTTTTGTTTTTTTCGCAAATATGAAAACTTTCGAAATATTACGCGTGTAATTTGTCTTTCACAATAGGAATGCATATATAAAGAAAAAGAAAGAGCCCAATATATCCGATTATCGAACATATTTAATCTGGATATTTGTAAAACAAGAGAGAGAGAGAGAGTGAGAGTGAGAGTGGGGGTTGCTGCGTATCAAGATGGCCGCACCGATAAGAACTGGGAATTGTGGGTAAATAGAAACGTTGTTTCGATAACGATTTCTATCGTTCGGACAAATTGGCTCTGGCTTATCTGTAGCATGAAAACAAGCTAATTTTGTTCTCTCTCCGGAGCGAGATTAAAATAATCGTTATTAGTTCATAAAGGGCAAGTGGAAAATATTTTGTTCCTATCATATAAGGAGATATAGATTATAGCACGCAGTAAAACTTGCATAGTATAATCAAACGGATCTACAAGATTGAGCGATATATATATATATATATATATATATATATATATATATTTGTGTGTGTGTGTGTGTGTGTGGATATATGTAGATATAATAAGCTGGTGAAAGAAATTTAAGAGATAAAAACAACAAAAATAATAATAATATTGATAACGAAACTAATAATATTTATTGCATATTAGTAGGCCGTTTTGGCCTAATGGAAGTATGATGAAATACATCTAAATGTCGTAATTTTCGGACACGCCTGTGTTCTTTATCAGCGAGACGAGAAATAAAAAAAATTAAAAATTGAAATGGGACTTTCTTTTCCGGGGAATTTGCTTTTTTTTGTTTTGGGTTTTTTTTTCGCATGTATTATATAACTGACGAGATATTAATATTTCAGGCTTGTTGTTTGCGATGATTAATGCTGTAGAGAGTTTGTAGAAGGCTTTTTGTGGAAAGTGTATTCCCTGAGTATAGCTGAACAGCTTCCATAGAAAGCCTTCTACAAACACACACACGAATAGACAAAAATCAACCTAACGCCAATAACTAGTGCATAAATTCATTTTTAACGTAACAGCTAAAATGAGAAAATCAGCCGTCAATAACTGCTACCTTCTGAGGAGTGGACCGGAAAAATGCTTATCCAAATGATGATACACCACCCGAAATCAGATACTGACAGGCCGTATGTACCAAGAGCTTAAGGAGGCCATGCCTAATCCAACTTGAATCAACACTAAAACCTACAATAATCAGATTGGAAGCCTACCTCACAAAAACCAATGACCCTATTCTATAAATAGTAAACCACCAAATCTATTCCATCACCAAAGAGGCTACACACTTCAAGAAACAGCTTAATATACCCGAAACCCTACCAACAAAACAAAAAAAAAAAAAACGAAGCGAATACCATCTACGCGAAACGAGTAAAACAACATGACCAAATGAAATTCCTAAGAACTGGGAGGACAACGCGTTGCATAGAAATTTACCGAAAAAGAACGAAAGCCGATGTGAACCAACAGAAAACACATCAGTGGCTGAGCAGCACCGACTTGAAAGCCGAGACAGAAGGCTAATTAATGCAGCTCAGAACAAAAATCTCGCAACCAGATCCTATCACTGTCGCATTATGAAGGAAGGAACTAACCTGAAATGAAGGAGCTGCAGAAAATATAATAAAACTATCAACCATATTATCTCAGGATGTCCGAAACTAGCAATAAATGAATATACCCTCAGATATAAACAAGGTAGCGACATTTGTGCGCTGCAAGAAGCACAAAATCGAAACCACTGAGACATTGTATGAGCACCAACCAGACACAGTTACCCAAAATAACAATATAACTATCCTCTGGGACATGCTAATTCAAACTGACAGGGAAATAAAAGCCAACAGACCTGATATTATCAGAAAAGGCAAGAAATTCGGGAAGTATTTGCTTATTGACATAAATGAAAGAAAAAGAAAGGGAAGTAAAAGTGGGGAGAGAGAATCAGATTAAGTTGTTAAGAGCACATACGACATTTTGATCTCAGCCAAATATCCAAGAAGCTATGACAGCCGCGATAAAAGCGCCATTTTTCAGACGTACAGTATTGAACTTCGGAAACCGAATAAGCAATCACCAAAAATACAATTACCTTAGATTAAATAAAATAACATCTGCTGAATTATTTTTAAATTATTATTAAGAGAAATGTTCGTAAGACGGGGATTTGGAAAGAAAAAAAAAAGAAAGGGAGAAAGAAAGAAAGACGGGAAGATAAAAGTGTCTAACTTCTTCTGCCATAAATAATTTACTATTCCGTTTTGATCGCGTGTAAGGTGGGGAAAGGAAACTACTTCATTTCACAGAGAAAATGCGGCTGACAACCACATCACGTTGAAAAACCGGTTCTTGTATGATCACCGAGGTTAAGCAACGTTCAACCTGGTCAGTACCTAGATAGGTGACCGCTTGGGAATACCAGATGCTCTAAGCTTGTTTGTGCGGATGGTGTAATGGATAACGGCGCGGAATAGGAAATCGGGAAGCCGAGTTTCAATTTCAGTTGGGTTCGTTATATTCACTTAGGGGGGGAGGTATGAAT